ACACATATACACATATTTCTATATGTCTGTATTTATTTTTGTGTGTACACATTTATTTTGTATATAAAAATGTCTTATATTTTGAAATATCAATAGAGAAACAAATTATAAACATAAAAAATTAGGAAAAACTATATATAACGGATCGGATATTCGGATAAACGGTTATTTAAACGGATGCATATTCGGATCGGATTTTAAACGGATCGGATATACAATTACCAGATCCGTATCCGTTTAGTAATCGGATATCCTTAATCGGATACGGATAATATCCGTTTAAAACAGATGCGGATATTTCCTCTTTAAACGGATACGGATGCGGACGGTAATCGGATTTTCGGCTATCCGTTTACAGCCCTATCTGATATCAAGTAAGTGCCCCTAGAGTCCCATGAGATCATCCAAATTAGTCGTTCTATTCATGAAGTTCACTTGGGAATTTAATCAAACAGTTAGAAAGCATTCAAGGGAGCTTCAAATCAATGATATGCAAAATGCTTTTAACCTTTCAAGGAACCCAAAAGGGATGCACAATAACCTAAATTCAAAGTTAATTTAAATCATTAAAATTTTTTCCAAAATATTATTGCAAATTGAAAATACTATTCTCAAACAAGATCTTAGCAAATTATATGGTACATCTGATTGTATGAAAAGAATCATACACCTAGATCAATTTTACAAGTTTGGGAATGGCAGCAATGACAGCTCGCTGTAGCAGCAATGCTCCCGGGCTTACAAAGCTGGTCGATTAGCCTTCCTCCCTCACTCCCTTTAGATGAGTTTGATTTTACAATTCTACTTCCTCTAACTAAATAGGGAAATATTTGTTCAAGACGAATGGGTGAGTTGGAGATGGTGAGGACGGTGTGACAATGGAGGGGGCGGAACCCTAGCTTTCAGTATGTTGCAATCGATCGATGTGGGGGTCGTAGATTTTACAGGTGCGTATCAATGAACTACTTCAAAATTGGGGTAGTATGAACGGTACGTAGCTTCAGAATGAACACTACGCTATTTGAGAATAAATACTACATTATTTTAAAATAAACACTACATTATTTGTAAGTGAATATTATAATTGTAATGATAAATGTGTGAAAATGAACACTCTGTTATTTGAGAATGAGTACTATGTTGATTCAAAATCAACACCACATTATTTCAAAATGAATGCTCTTTTACTCCAAAATACACTTATGTTCTGTGCAAAAATGATTATTACCTGGTAGTACCATAATTCCTATACATCCTATTGTACAATATACACAATCAATGAAATTAGAACTAGAAAAATAGGATTGAAGGGGAATTAGAGACCGGTCTTGTCTTAGACTAGTAGTCTAATTTGGTCCTTGAGTTTTTATGTAAGACTAGACTAGTCCCGGACCTGGTAGTCTTTTCCGAAAGACTAGACCGAGATCAAACTTGGTCTAGAAATGTAATGTATTTGAAAATACATTCTAGACACACACACACACACACATACATACATACATACATATATATATAAATACATTTATCTTATCAATATAGAGCATAATACTTTACATTAATTTTTATGAATTTACAATAAGTGATAACAAAATAAAAAATTTCATGTGTGTGTCATACCCTGATTTGAAAATAAGTAGATTAGGGAAAGAAAAGGCGCAAGAAGGATTGATAATACTACTTATACCAACAAGGTGCATCTTCTTTTCGAGAGATCATCACTTAGAGACTCTGAAGTTAAGCGTGCTTGACCTGGAGCAATTTTGGGATGGGTGTCCCCTTGGAAAATTCCTTGCGTGCGCACGAGTGGGTACAAAGTGTGTGGGAAAGACTTGTGTTGGTTTATAGGGCCAGTCCACAATCCTATGAGCGGACGCTTACGGCCAGGGTGGGGGCCGTGGTATTACTGTGTGTGTATTAAACATATACACATTAAAATTTATTTTTCGTTGACTCTATCCAACTTCTACCTTACATAAAAATATTCATGTTACATGAAATAAAAGAAATTAAATAATCAAAAATATTTTTTTTGTTTTTTATGAGTATTAATTTGAAGAAGTAAAAACTAAAAACCGTGTAGCACATATTAAGAATTGGATGGACTTGGACTGGTCCTAATGGGACTATTTGGTCCCAAAAAATCTCTATTTTCTTATGAAGACCAAACTCGTATGGACTGATTTCTAAAAAAAGATTAGAGCAATTCCCTCCTAAATAGTACTGGAGGGATCGATGTGATCTAATTAGGCCGGTGCTTTTGCTCATCTATAACCAAAATGGTGTTTTGGTGTATATCAACCTTTATTGTTGGAGAATATTGGCTTCATTTTTAGAGAATTTAATTTAGATTTTAAAATTTTTTTATACATTTATTAGAAGTCGTAGATTATGTAAAATCAATATATTGTTTTAATTCTATATAAACTAAGAAACATTTTGATATATTTTATCAGTAGAATTTTATAAGATTTTATCATATTGTTTGTAATCGATCCATGGATTATTTATAATAAATTTCAATTATTTTGAAAATTTATACATTGTTCTGACCTCAATTACTTCATATCAAATCGACTAAGAAATTGAAATAATAAAACAAAAAATAATTTATTTTTTTAAAATTATTATTACTGTTATTATAAATTTGGTTAGGTTTCATTGACACTAACATCTAGTGTCAATGGATTACACTCGTCTATTTAGAGAACCTCTACTCTTACCCTAACTCCAATTCTTACCCTATTCCCACCCGAACTCCTCATTTCGCCTCCTCCAAATGTGTGGCTATTATGCAAAATAGTCGCATATTTGGAGGGCAAAGGGGAGAGGGGGAGAGTTGGAGTGGGGATTTAGGATAAGCGTTAAGAAGTGTGAACCATTAATTTTGTGAACAGAACAACGAAAGTGGACTGGTCCAAAAGCCAATAGCATCGAAGTGTCACCGTGCTCTAGTGTGAACAGAACCTTTCCCATTATAAACTTTTCAACATTAAATAATAGATTGATCAATGTCATAAGCATTAAATTTGTTTTGCAACTCGAGTCGTTATTAATTGCTAAATTATTTTCCATCTATGTCAAAATTTACCACTAAAAATCTAAGGACAACAAAAAAGATGACATTACCTAAAATTTAAAGACAATTTAAAATAAAATTATCAAACAATATAGTCTTCAATTTAAACTTCATTATCATCATTATACAAAAAAAACTTCACTATCATCAAAACCTTCTTGATTCTCCTCATCGGAATATTCCTCATTAGCATCGTTTTGTGATCAATCAGCCCACATAGCTTAAGGAATGATATATTTCCAAGCGTTAACTTATGTTTCTAATTTGCTTTTATTGAGCTTGAGAAAATATTTCAAAACTTTGTTCCTCCATGTCTAGATATAAGGGCACTGGAAATACTTATGAAGCTCGGAGCTTCAAACCTTCTCTATGCCACATTAGCTTTAACTCCCCTTTAACTTACCTCACAATTTCATTAGAAATGGACTTGAAGCCCCAAAGCTTCAAATTGGGGCTTCAAACCTTTTTTTTATTTTTTTAATACACATTTTGAAAAAATTAATTAATAAGATTTCATTAATTAGTTAAATTTAAATGACAATAATTCATTCAATAAAAAGAACATTAAATTTAAAAAGTTAAAGCAAACTATATTTAGGAGTAAATTTCATAATTGGTCTTTTATTACATGGAGGTTTCCATATTTAGTCTTGTATTATCAGATATTAGTTTCATAGTCCTTATATGGGTGCCTTTCCATAAATGGTTCTTTTTTAATCTTCTGTCATGTTGGTGTTAATTTAAAGACTACAAATATGTCCACTGACGTATTCTTATATTAGTTAGCCAAATAACACAAAAATAATGACTATAATTTTGAGCTAGGATTCTGACGAAAGCTGTAGACTATAGTTGTACTAGAAAACGACTGTAATTCACAAACGATGCACCATTATATATGACAAGAAAGACATATTATCATTGTGAGATTATGGTTGAACACACTTTTTTGGTACACTTTTTATTAGTACACTCAGTTCTAGTTGAGTTTCTAGAACCGAATTTGGGTCCTCCAAATTGGCAAAGGTTTGAGAATCGAAAAAAGTCAAATTATTCCTGTATGTTTGGTAAAGCTACATCGTATATTTGTTTGGCTCAAGAACGATCGAAGGAATGGAGGAACCGAATGGATTCATGATAAAAATAAAAAAATATTAGAGAATGATAAGAATTTTGAGAAAGAATAGAGAGTTGTATGAGAGAATGTGTTGTGTGTATTTTTAAAATATGAAAGGGTATCTATAATTGAAATTTAAAAAAGAGTGAATTCCATAAATGATCTTTTAAAAGAGGAAGGTTTCCATATTTAGTTCTCCATTATAAAATATTAGTCCCGTAGTCCTTCTTTTATGGGTACCTTTCCACAAATAGTCCTTTTTAAATCTTCTGTCATGTTGGTGTTAATTTAAAGGCTAAAAAGTATATACTTTGACATCAACCCTAGATCTGGTGATGTATTCTGATATTGGTATAAAACAAAAATAATGATTATGATTGTAAGCTAGAATTCCAACGAAAGACCACATCTGTAGACTATGGTTGTAGTAGAAAAAAATGCATCAAGAACGGCCTTTGAAATTGTGTGTGAGAAGAAAGATATATTACCATTGTGAAATTACACTTTTAGCCTTCAAATGAACACCAACATGAATGAAGATAAAAAGGACAATATGTGGAAAAATATCGATAAAAGAGGGACCACTGAGATAATATTTGACAATAGAGGACTAAATAGGGAAACTCTTCTTATAAATAACCAATTATGTAATTTACTCTAAAAAAAATTAATATTTGCCAACGGCCAAATATTTGATCGTTTGTGGTGGTGGGGGGGGGGGACGCTTCCACTTCCCTTTTTCGCGTTGAACGTTTAACGCACAACATATAACGCACCATTAACGCTACAGGGGCGGTGTTTAACTCCCCTCACGCGTTAAAATGGCAATGACGCCCCCTAGCATTAGATGCATTTCGTGTTCTCTAATGAGGATGAATCAATTACCTTGCGTTTACCCCTTATCTTTCATTCTTTTTTAAAAAAAAAAGATGGATCTCACGTGTCATAGGTTTTTATTTTTGATCTCATAGTTGGTTTTATCTACATAATTTAATATTTCAAATCAATTGATTTAAAAAAGTAGTCAGATTATGCAAGTTTGTGGAGACTAATCTCAGGCGTGTTCTTTGATATGGCATAGCTGAGGAAGACAAAGATCACCCATTTATCTCCTGCATATATACAAAGAATATTCAGATCAACATCTGCAATTGGTTTCAGTATCATTGGAGGGCCAACAACTATAAGGAGATGCAAGATGCTATCCTGCAAATCAAGGGGAGGAAGAAAAGGCAGATTGGGCATCAGTTAGTTAGTTACTTGTTCCACAAGTGTATATTCTCACTTTTCCTCTTTTTCTAAATTATTTTCAAACTTTACAATTTTGTACATTTTTAAAGTCTATGAACATCAAACAATGAGCTTTTTATGGACAAAGGAAGGATCATATTTTTTTCATTACAAAACAAACAGTTAAAAGAGAATAGAGGGAGCAACACATTTTTTTCACAGCCAATATTCACACAGAACAACCCTCCGAGCCCGTTCATGACCAATAGATGGCATGAATTCAAGTAGAAGTTCTAGAGAAACTCTTTCAGGTGGCTGCAGTTGAAGTGTGCTCCTCTCATCACTTCTTGACATGAACCTGAAGCTTGTGGCCTCTTCTACTTTGACCAATCGGTCCATTTTACAACAAAGAATTTCAATTACTACACGATACTTTCAAATATACAAGCATTTGTCTAAGTGCATCAGTAATCTAGAATATATATATGCATGACAAAAGTATACACACACACACACACATATATATATTCTTTTCAAATGCTTTCAATTGGATGGTACACAACTTTTCAATGCAATTGAGGGAAACCAAGAATGATTAATACCTCAATAACTAGACACAATCATGCATACCTTGAAATGAAATCCTATGTGGAAGAAAGTCTGGGTGAGTAAACGACAAATCTCCCGAGTCGAGTTGCTGCGGAGAGAGAGCTAAAGTAATGGTCTACACAAAATGCATCATTTTTGAATTCATTGTCTACCTCCGAATGCAGAACAACTTTGAATTCACCGTCTACAGGGAACTTCAGAGCATTGTTCTTCTATAGTGATTTGTCCTAGTTCGGTGTTCATTCTCGGTATCAGATTTGAATGGAGATGGAGATGAGATCATCAGTGCCTTCAATTGCGGTGTTGAAATCTGATACCGAGAATGAACACTGAACCAGGACAAATCACTGAAGAAGAAAAATGCTATGAACTTCCCTGTAGACGGTGAATTCAAAGTTGTTCTGCATTCGGAGGTAGACAATGAATTCAAAAATGATACATTTTGTGTAGACCATTACTTTAACTCTCTCCACATCAACTGGACTTGGGAGATTTGTCGTTTACTTTCCAGACTTTCTTCCACACAGGATTTCATTTCAAGGTATGCATGATTGTGTCTAGTTATTAAGGTATTAATCGTTCTTGGTTTCCCTCAATTGCATTGAAAAGTTGTGTACAATCCAATTGAAAGCATTTGTCGTTTACTTTCCAGACTATCTTCCACACAGGATTTCATTTCAAGGTATGCATGATTGTGTCTAGTTATTAAGGTATTAATCATTCTTTGGGTACAATCCTATTGAAAGCATCTAATTGATAGCATTTGAAAAGAATACACACACACACACACACATACATACATACTTTCAAAACTACAACATCTTATCTTACTATATACAAAGCAAAAAGAAGCCGGAACAGTGTTCCCGCCTATTTCTTGCTACAGTGTCCGCAGGATATTTTGGGAAATTCCTTCACGAGCTTCCTCTATACGCCATTAATTTTATTCTTCTTCACCCTGAGAAAAATCTCTTTGAGAGACGAAATCGCACAAAAAACTGCGATGACGAATGACAAAGAACGCCGCCTAGGGTTTCTACCGTTCCGCCATGGAAGCAGAGGGCGACTGGCACCAGCACAGGCTGTGACCTATGGACTCCGGCAGGGCTGGATTTGAAATGGTGGTGGCTCATACGCCAGCTGCAGCGACGACTGCCTAGCAGACCTGCGATGGCCGGTTATTGGCTTCCTTCCAGTGGTCCGAACGAAGATGAAAATGACCCGGCCCGACCCGTATGTACCCTTTTTATTTACTCATTTATTTTGCTTTCGTTCTCTCTTTCTTGATCGCTGCTCGCCCTGCTGCAACCATAGTTCCTCTCAGACTCTTTCTGGATGGCGTAATAATTTTTTGCAGGAACATAAAGAAAGGTTGTACAATTGGTCCATTCTTTCATTTCCACTTTTGTGTCTTGGATTGTTCTTAGCTTTGATGGGTACGTCTCTCTATAGCATATTTGGGATTAACACAAATATTTTAAGGGATGCTGCATTTTTAAAAAAATTGCTCTGTTGCTTACAACAGGTATCCCTCTAAACAAATGTCAGAATGGTGTATTTTTGGTGATTTTTTTATTATTTCTTTTTTTGAAAATAAAATATTTTCTAAATTACAAATTGGGCTTGGTAGTGAGTATATATTAGGCTTTCAATAATAATTGTGTACTTAAGCATATATGGAACAAATTATCACAATGAAAACTTGGTTTTCAATCCTGCGATCATTAAAGCTTTGTGTGTCTATTCAGGTTTTCACTTGAATAAAAAAAGTATCAACACAATTTGGGACTTCATATTGCTGGTAAGATCTCAGAAGCTTCCTTCTCACTTTATGATTATTATGTTATCTTACTTGGGCTTACTTATTGATGATATTTTTTTCTTTTTTCTTTGTTTTCTTTTCATAAGAACTGGATATTTATTAGTGGGTTTATGTGTAAAAAATAAGTAATATTCCTCTTGGTAATCCGCTTTAAATATGTTGTGAATGTCTTCTAGATTCCTAAAGGGCCTCAAGTCTCAACTTGCAGCGTGCTCTTCTTTGAAAAATGGAAGAGGTCTGCAAGATGAAGAAGCCAAAGATCTCAACGAAGAAGATGTGCGCAGAACAATTTCTGCCTAATGTGAGTTTCAGTTAGAGAATACAAAGTATTTCTTTGCAAATCTTATTTTAGCGACTTCAATTACGTCATCTTTAATATTTACAGCTTCAAGCATTGCGTCTGGTTACTCTGGTATTTCTGATCTCAATCTGCATGGATTTACTGAGCAGATCCGGCCAGATACTCTAACGCTAGAAGCCAAAGTCCTTCTCATTCCTTCATCTTAATTAATCTCCTAAAACATGAGTTGTGTGCCAAAGAATAGTAGAATACTTTTGGCTGGAAATGTAGTTGTTATTAGATTTTTTATTGTGCCAGGAAGCTTCAACCAAAATTTTGTTTACCATTGTTATGGGTTGATATATGAATCCTTTTTTCTTTTCTACTTTTTGCATGGAAATACTCTTTGAACATTAAATACATTTTCTTTGACCATGTTCAATTCTTGGTTTTATAAAGTTAAACCTCATATCTTCAACATTCTTTGATAACTAAATTTTTGAATCTCAAGTAACATATTGATGCCAGTAATTCAGTTCTTAGGCCTTCTTGGATTTTACTTTGATGAGAAATGAACTTATTTTGTTTCTTAGCTTTCAGCTAAAAAATATCTTTGATGTTTTAAAGATCCAATCTTTATAGTTTTGTTTTCTTTAAAAATTACGGAGTATGTCTTTTGTGATAATAAAAAATGAGTCTCCATTCCCAAGGCTGAGTTCTTGGGACTGTTAGGGTGGTTCTCCTTTAATTTTTGCAATTACTTTCTTTAGTGATTTGTATTTGTAGACCACCAATAGTACACCATTTGTTTCTTACCAAGAAATATTTTTTGGTACAAACTAAGAAATATATTTATGAAATAATGTACTTATTGATTATTTTCAAATATAATTAAATAAATTATTGATAATATTTCTTACCGTGCATCGCACGGGTACGAATCTAGTACTTTTAAATATACAAGAATTTGTGTTCTAGAATGTATATGCATGAAAAATAAACAAACAAACAAATCAAATATATATATATATATATATATATATATATATATATATATATATGACCAATTGATGATCGGATTCAAGTGGAACTTTATATCGAGTCCACAAGACTCGATTGAAATTTCATGTGCCGGTCAGGTTATTTTGGATATTTCACATCATGCTACCATTAGACCTTCTTCTCAGATTAAACTCATTAAAGGAGGAGATTTTTAAAGAAGTCCAATATGCCCATAACTGTTTAGTTTTGTTTCCATTTTCAGCAACACTTAAATCTCTCAATTGAAATCCAAGTGCTCGATATAGAATTGCCACTTCCCAAATCCAACGTAGGAACCAAAAATGAAATTTACTCTCTTGTTACGGAGGATAAATAATCATCTTATTTGATTTCTTATTGATATACATCAGACTATCCATTCAAATGCTACAATGTTTCTCATTAGTTTCAAACTAAAATGAGATATTGTTTTCATTAGTCCCAACGAATTTGGATTGAACCTTGGGTAATGATGGGGGCTGTGCAGAGTTAGCAAATACGGAGTATGTTGGGTAATGAGTGTGAATTTACCATCCTACCCTGATGCTTAATCAGTAATTGAATGCGTAAATGCCAGTAATTTCTCACTCATTAGAACAATGGAAATGCCCATGACACCGGGGGCGCCATCGGGTGTTTAACGCCTCCTCGGTGTTAAACGCCGCCCCCTTCGGCGTTACTTTGGCATCATTCTACTGCGTTAAACGTTTAATGCACGTTGTACGTTGATCCCCCCCTCCAACAGCTATTTTAGCACTTACACCCAAAAAAATCTTTAATTTAATTTTTTTATAAATATCAACCCCAATCTTCAATCTTCTTCACATCTTTCTTCAACCTTCAATTTCATTCACACAAATCTCTTCAATCTTCTTCAATTTTTTTTAAATTTTTGTTAACATGAATCCCTCTAGTTCTTCTCTTCCCGACGGTCTCAAGTCAAACGAGTACACGATGTGACTCTTTCAAGCGTATGGGAGTAATCTGTAGTTGTTTGAAACGCAAACATCGATGAACCTCGATGACCTGAAGTCGGTTCCGAGACTCAACCGGAAGCAATTGCACCAACGGGAACCAAAAAAGATGCACGCCGAAAGAGTCACACAGCGAAAGGCGACAAACCGATGACCGAGGCGGCACAGTCAATCCAAAAGTGGACGCCAGAGGAAGAATCCTTGTTGGGGACGGCTTGGATTGACGCCTCTGAGCATCCTATCGTTGGTAAAATTTACTCCGTATATGTTTTCTAATATATTTGTGTTCTTATTTATATATTTAATTTAAAAAAAATTAGGGAAGAAGAGAAGAAAAGAGGAAGAAACAAAGGCAACAGAAGGAAGAGATCAAAGTAATAGAAATCGATCTTGATACATTATCGGACTTCAAACGTATGCTCTTCGAGAAGAGACAAAAAGAGATCAAGGCTAAATATAATTTGCTTTAGTATTTTTATTAATGTATTTTTTATTAAATGTTCTTTTTTATTGAATGTAATTTTTATGAATTGTTGTCGTTTTAATTTTTTTAATTTAATGAATGTAATTTTTTCCATGAATTATTCTTGTTTCAATTTAATTAAATAATTAAATTTTATTAATTTAATTTTAGAAGATGTGTATTTAAATTGTAAAAAATAAAGGTTTGAAGCCCCAAGACTTCAAACCCATTTCCAATGAATTTGTGAATTAAGTAAAGCTAATGTGGCAGAAAGAGAAAATTTGAAGCCCCGATTTGAAGCCTCGGAGCTTCACGGGTATTACCAGTGCTCTCACTGGATCTACTCCGTATCTCCTAACCCTTCCATGCCCCTATCACAGCTACCATATTCCTTGAATCTTTGATGCGGAAATGCCAGATCACAATACATTAACATTCTATACCTACAAGAGGAATGATAACCGAACCACCCAATTCTAGTACTATTTTTGTCGAAGCACACTATTTTTGTTCTAAATGTTACAAACTAAACAAACAAAAGCCCCTAAATCAACTGGTTCTAGTGACAAAAACCAAAGAACTGCACAGTAAAGAGTTAAAGCCTTAGCTTGATCAAAACTTACCGTTGAGCGGCAGAAGAATTCCGGGAATCCATGTCTTTGTAAAATTGGGTGAACCGCAGGCGATTTTCCGGTTTGGGCTTGACGGGCCTCTTCTTCAAGCCGAAAATTTCTTGAACAAGAGGAACATGAACCAACACCAACTTCCACGCCAAAAGCCAGCCTGCAAGCAAAGAGGACGATCAAAGATGAAAGGCCGCTTCGATCAATTTTTCCGAATTCCAAATTTTTTAAATAAAAAAAGGGGAAAGATTGATGGAAAGGGTTTGAGATCTGGTTATGGAGACTGGGAATTACTACCAAATAGGAGCAAAGAGAGGACGAAGATGATTGCAGAAATAGGGCGGATGAAGAATAAAGAGAGGTATGCCCAAGACGATGTTAAGGTCAAATAAGACTCCTCCATTGAGGACGGAGTTGCGAGAATAGACTCTGACAGGTCTCGCCTAGGGCTGGGGACGATATTATTTACACCAAAAATTTATACCCCATTTCTACAACACAGTTATACACAAACATTTTGATGGTTTACACCAACTCAAATGTTGGTGCGTTAACAAAAATTTACACAGACACAAAGTGTTGATGCATTAACAAAAAGTAATTTTACACCAACACAAAATGTTGATACAAACCTGCGGGTACAAAAGGTTGGGGTATAAGTAGCTTTATCCACGTCAAATTATTCCTACGAAAATGCTAAAAACCCCCCACCATTGCTACTAATCATGTCCCCCTACATAAACATGTGGTAGGCAGGCAAGAAAATTAAAATTAAAGGGTGGGTGGAGAATGGATAGAGATAAATATATGGTGGAGAAGTGGGTGAAGGCAAGGTAGGTAGCAAGGGTGGGGTGTGTAGCAGGGTCCTTATCCCTAAAAGCAAGTTTGACCACCAAAGGAGAAATAATAACATTGATGTGAAAGTAAGAAAAACTATTACTACATCCGTCCATAAATAAAGTTCTCGTTGCGCGTTACAATATTTGCCTAAAGTTATTTTTAAATTATTTTATATGAAAAATCGTTTGGAATTTAAAAATAAAAATTACATATTTAAAAAACTACATGAAAAAAATCTACAAAACTAGAGGTGACATGACTATATTATTTTATCAAATAAGACAAGAAAATAGGCTAACAAAGTTAATATAATTTGACCCAGTGAAAAGTGAACGAGAACTTTATTGTTGGACAGAAGGAATATAACACAAGTAAAAATATTTAAATATCTTGGATGTATCATTTAAGATAGTAGAGAATAAAAAGAATGATATTAGTCACAGAGTTCAAGCCAATCCTTTATATATATAAAGCAGAGTCGAAGCTATAAGAATATATAATTTGGCAGAGCTAAAGCACGACATGTGGCGAGCTGATGTGGTGACATTTGGCAAAGTTAAAGCGCGACATGTGACGAGCTAATATGTAATCCTTTTAGACAAACCGATCGGTTTGACCGGTTAGACCAGTTCTTTTTTTGCAATTGGATCTCTTGGTCATTTAGTTGAGTTCCTAACCATCCAAGCTAGGGTGCTTTTTGTTACAATCTCACTTAAGCTTTTATAATGTTTCAAAATTAAAAAAGGATTGTATAAACATTTCTTTTTAGTTATAAAAAATATAATCCTTTAATATAATATTTGAGACTCCGTTTGCTAAAAAGTCGCCAAAAGACAAGCTTATGTGGGCTATATTAAGGTGAGATGGCAAGTCTTTATTGGTTGCTTATGTGGCAAATTTTATTAATGATGAATTGACTTTTCTTTTTATTTTAAAATAGAAATTTAATAATGATTTTAAATTTTGGAAGAATTTTACGTTAAAAGATTTAGTAGAAATAATGAATTCACTACTTCGTGACATTAGTTGAGTATTTATATTTTTATTTTTAAAAAGCAATTCATCTATTTATTTGTTATGATGTGATAAAATTAATTATGTTATAAAATCAAATTTGTGAAAGATAAATATAGTATTGTCCGAAATAAATTTTTTAAAGGAAACCAATTATATAAAATATAATTTTATGATAAAAACTATTATGATGTAGCAAACAATTAGTGAAAATATAAAATTGGTATTATCACTTACCATTTCAAGACTAGCATTTTTTATGAATCAAATTTTTAACTAAGTGCATACACAAAAAACAAAATTTTGATAATGATATATTCTCATTTAAGAGTATTCTTATAGAAAAGGATCAAATATGTTTATAATTGATCCTTTATTTATAAAATTGATATTTTAATCTTTAAGAAGCAGAGATGTGATATTGTTTAAGAGACATTNCATTTTTATAATAATTATTTTCTAATTATGTATAATTTTCTATTCAATTATTACAAAACTTCTAAAAGTGTGTTTGGTGAGCAAAAAAAATATGAGTTTTGAATTTTGAAATCTCCAGATATCTTTATCCTTTTCTGGTGTTTGGTGAAGCTAAAAGAGTTATCAAATTTAATATCTGCAGATATCATAAATCTTTAAAATTGATGGTCTCAGTATCTCTCGAATTTGGGAGATATCAATATGGGGGTTTGATATCTCTCTCAAGTATCGATCATTCTTCGTCACTCGCTACCATTATCACTGCCAACCACTCCCGTTGCCAGTCACCTTTTCTTACCACTAATTAAATCCTGAATTTAAATCTCTCCAAATAAAATCATTTCAGATTACAAAGTCCATATCATTTCTCTGAGTTTTCATAACCCACATCTTATAATATCTCCAAAATTAACCAAATTGGCCCTAAGCAATTAATAAGATATTTCTTCACTTCTAAATAAATTTCATATTTTTATGATATATTTAAATCGAAGCATTCAGTTTGATTATATTTATTAAAATATGAGAAGATTAAAAAAACTTATTTTAAAACTACAATGAAACTTTATAAAAATGAGAAGATTAGAAAATAAATCGTTAAAGCACGTAAAATATATTAGACTTTTAAGTTGTTGAGATAACATATTTATTTTGTACGCAATAGCTTGGTTTTAGATTTGCAATTACTTCCGACACAATTTTGATGTCAACAATTGTGTCTTTTATTAAATTGCATTTCCAATTCTCAACTTTTGATTATATTATATTCGTAAGAAATTTGAGAACCAAATATATGTAATATGAATAAGTACATAATTTAGGGTTTAGAAATTGCATCGGATGTAATTAGAAATACATGACTAATATGTTGAGTTTGAAATAAATGTACTATCTCATCTAATTAGAAGTTCTAATTAGGTTAAGAACTATTTTCAAATTAAAATATTTTGTAGGGATGACTTTATCAAAAAATATTTTACTGAGACGAAAAAACTTCTTATTTTATAGGGTATAAAAACATATTTAAACCTATTTTTATTATATTATAAAAGACAAATGATTAAAACAAAATATATCATTGGGACTTATTATATTACACTAACATTATTTATGATATTATTATCATTGAGTACATTTAATTAAGAAAGAAAGATATTTATTTCTTTTAATTTTTTTTTCATTTCATTTATAATAATAGTTTCGATGAATATATAACCTACTCTCTTTATTTTTAAAAAAATTTCATATTTCTTTATGTTATGATTAAGAGAAGTTAGCTTTATTCCATTTATTTACATAGTGATGTAAAATAACAAATACTTCTTAATCCCTATATTAAAATTATATATATTAAGTGTTTAAACCATACGGAGTATTACTTAGCAGGATTATTTAATTTGACTTTTGTACTTTATCTTTCTAATTTGACCTACTATTTTAATCAAAGAAGGTTTGCACTGTAACTTACCATATTTAAGATGTAACTTAAGATTTATAAATTTATATTAGGTGATAATTCACTATATTGATGCATGAAAATAAAAAAGATGGATCAAGTATGGCTCGATTCTCTTTTCTTCATTTTCACAATCATACAAAGAAATTTAAAAAAATGATATTCTTAGAGATGAAGCGATATAACATGGACTTTCACAAAAATATTTCTATAAAGAAAATTAAGATTTGGAGGTCGAGAAACGCGTGAAGATCTGTGACAATTAAAATTTAGATGCAAGAATAATGAGTATTTTAAGGAGAAGTACGAAGAATATCTTATGTGCAGAAGCGAATAAGATTTAGGTTAAACTACAACATCAAAGAGAAATATAATTTTTAAATTGTAACTCTTTGTATTTTATAAAACATTATGTATTGAACAAAATACTTTCACAAACTTAAATGATTGAATATTTAAAAAAGAAAGCAAAAAAATGAATAAAAATTGTGAAATAGTTTTTGTAAAATTTCATTAAAATCATAGAATCACTAATTTTTTTGCATTCACATAATTTTTGAAATAATACGAGGGAGAAAAATCATTATATTTTTAATGTATTGTAAAATTTATATTTCTTATCATATGATTGTTAATTTATGTTTTCACACTTTTAATAATACAAGAAAAAAGATTCAATTTTTAATTAGTGCAAAGGGCCAAGGAGAGAAAGAATCACATTAATGCATCATAGAAATTAAAATCATATATTTCCGTTAATGTAAATTAATCTGGCGGAGAAGAATAATGATTTTTTTATATTAAAATTACAAGATCGGAAATCTAAGTTTGTTAAATAAATGCAGGGGAGAAGAATAATAAAATCACCAATGTTTTTGTCGTATATTTTTTGAATTCAGGGGGTGAGAAAAATTATATATTTGTAATAATTTAGTAAACCTAGATTTTATGTGTGTGTGTGAAATTTAAATGGTATATAACATAAAAAAATTAAGTTGTTTAAATATTTGATATTGTATAATAAAAATCAATTTAAATGGACATGCAATTTAAAATATTGTCATTTGAATGTAATGATTTTGTGCATGTTTGTACTCTTTTGAATTTCAAATGAGAAGCTTGCTTCATGCACATATCTTAATATGGTTACACTAGAGGGATAAACTTCAATCGCTTGAGTTAATTGATCGTGTGACATGTGTAGAGGTTCATAATAAAGATAAATATCCTAGATCTCTATATATGGAGAATGGTAAATTTATGAAACTTTTTCCCAAAAAATTTCTTGATAAGACATCGTTTGATGGGAATAACTACCTGATATACCAAAGAAGAACCTTAGAGGTCACCACAATATAATGAAAAAGAATATCGAGTTGGATAATCGAATTGTTGTGACATACAACCCACAACTCTTGATGAGGTTTCAAGATCAAACAACATCGAACATTGAAATAAATCTAATTCAATCAAATAAAGTAACTATTGCACTTGCCCAATCTAACTTTGGCATTGTTGATATTATGGTGTATTATGAAACAAATAAGTATTCTGATTGTCATTACGTATCTGCATGTGAAGCCTCTTGGATAATCCTCTCTTTTGATATACAACAAAGGTAGTGATCAGTACTGAGATTGAATTTTTATAACCCAAGGCTAAAATTCGTAACCTTTACAAAGTGTGGAAATAGTTCAAAGGCAA